CCCCTCCCCTTCTAGAAGACGCCGCTCTCCCCCAGAGCCGCAGCCCCGCCGAGCGGCGTCCACGCCCCGCGAGCTCCCGCGGCGCGAGGGGCGCGCCCTGGGGAGGGCAGGGGGCCCTGGGAGGCGGCGGGGGACATTCGCGCGCCCGGGCGTCCCCCCAACTTCTCGCAGACTTTTCTGAGGAGACGCGGGTTTGGGGAAAGTTGGGGCGCCCTCTGGCCGTGTTGCAACTTACACTGGGCGGGTGGGGGGCGTGTCCCCGCGCGTGGGAGCCTCTGGCCCCCCACTCTCCACCCGACGCCCCGCGCTGTCACGAGTTCCTTGGGAATGGCCCAGACCGCCATTCCTGAAGGCTGGAAAGGAGCCCGGCCGGGGTGGGGGCAGGAGGCCTCGAGAGGAACCGTTTCCCCTCTATCGAGTATTTCAAAATGTATTATTTATGAACCGCCTCACTTAGGGGCCCCCTCCGCTCCCAGGGCATCAAAGCAGGTTTGCAACCACAAAGGGCGACTAGTGTGAACGCACGCGCAGCTTCTTCTGGCCGGCTGAGCTCAGTGGAACTGGGGGGAGGCACTCATTAAAAGGAGGACCCGCAGCTCCGCTGGGCCGCGTGGTGGGCGGGGTCCGGGGCGGCTGGGACTTCTCTCCAACTGCCCCTGGCTGTTAGGCGTGATGGGACCGAGAGAAAAGTCTGTGCAGGCTGAGCGGCCTTTGAATGACGGAAGAATAGGACTTGAAAGGCAGCGGTGAAGGCACTTGTGAGCTGGTGCAGCCTTTGTGGGACTAACACTCTGACAGAGGAGGAAACTGAGGCTCAGAGAGGCACCCCCAGATTGGCAGGCTCTTGTTTCCTGCCCAGCCCTCAGGGTCGCTTGGGGAGCTCCTGTCCCGGGCTGGGTTGAGGCCAGAAAACACCCCCTCGCCTGTCTCCCCTTACCTGTCCAGGCCACACCCATCTTGGGTTCTGTGTCCCCACCCCTGGGGACTCATTCCTCTGGATGGGAGGGAGGGAGGGAGGCAGTGTATTTATGGAAAGCCTTAATCCCTCCGCCAGCCCCAAGGAGGCTGAGAGCCCCGCCAGCCTAATCTCCTGTACCTGGAAGCCCTTGCCTTGCTGGTGAGGTGTGGATGGCGGGTCCTGAGCCCCAGGTTAGAGCACCTTTGAGAGGACACAGGAAGAGAGCAGTGACATTGAGCATTTGTTGATCCCTCGTGGTTGCCAGACTCTGCACTCAGTGCCAGTGCCCACCACCTGTGCTCTGTTTTCATCCTCTGACCAAATACTGTTGTTATCCCCATTTTACAGATGAGGACCCACAGGCTGGTAAAGGTAAAGTGACTGACCCAAAGTCACGGGGCAGGTCAGTGGCAAGGGCAGGCCTTGAACCCCTAGCCCTCACAGTGAGTTGCTCTTGAATACAGCAGAGGCTAGACCAGGCCTCTGAAATGACCAAGGGCAGCCCCCCCATTAACATTATTAAGATATAATATACACACAGTAATATGTCCACATCAAAAGTGTACACTCAGATCAAGAAACAGAACTTGCCCAGGAACCCCCTTGTAGCCAGTGGGCGGTTCTGTGTCTCCCACAGACAGTGCGACATCTCAGTTACTTTTTATTTGGTGCAAAGAACACATTAGTTTACTTTTTCCTTTGTACTGAAAACCTGCAGGGGGTGAGCTGGTGTGCACTCGCTGCTGTGGGCTGGTAGTCTGTCTGCAAGGCTGCTGTAAAAACAATTACGTATTTCTTAACTAACTCTGGTTAATGAAACATTAACCTGACTTTTAATAGCATACCCCTTATTTTTAAACGAACGTTTTTATTGACATATAATATGTTTGGAAAAGTGCACACATCGTTAGCGTGGAGCTTGATCACACAGAGGCACAGAGCGGACAGGGGGCTGTGGGCAAGGATGTTGCTCGAAGTTACATGGCCGATCGCTTTGAGGCCAGGGCTGGACCCCAGGTGGCCCAAGACCCTGCCCAGTGACAGAGAAGCAGGTGGGGATTTGGGTGGGTGCCCTGCCCCTCCCCCCACCCCCATCCTCTTTCGCTCCCTGTTAGTGAGCTGCTGTGGACCAGGCAGGCAGCTGCCTGGCCTCCCCAAGAGCAGCTTGCAGCCTCCCGCCAGTCGGTGGGCTAAAGCCAGGGAGATGCTCGTGTTTGCACTCTGTGTCCCAGGATGGGAGGCACGTTATTGCTTGTCACATCTGTTCCCAGCACAGTCCCTTTGGCTGGAATTGCAGGAATTCTAATCCTGTTGCAAAAAGAAAGTGCCTTTTCTAAAGAAGGAAGAAAACCAAGATGTGCCGTGTGCCTTCTGGGAGCCAGGCGTGGCCAGCCCATTAGTACCTTCCTCCCTGTGTTTGCAGCCAGGCTCCGCGCTGGCCCAGACTCCACTAGCTGGGAGTGGAACCTGATTCTGCCCATTCTGGTGGGTCCACCCACCTAAGCAAACTGTCAGATTCCTCAGCCCTGATTCTTCTCCCCTGCCCTCTCCTTGGTCCTCAAGTGAGGTCTTGTTAAGGAGGTGAGGCCTAGCGCCATGGTGAGTCATGACCTCCACAGGGTTGTTCCCATTTCATCTGGGAGGTGGCTCTACAGGGACTGAGATCAGACTTCTAGCCTGACTCCGCCTTTCACTCACTTTCCCTCTCCGGTCCTCCCTGTCCTCATCTGGGACACCAGGTGTTAGAAATAAGACAGCCTCTGCGTAGAGTTGCCAGATTTAGCAAATAAAAATACAGGAGGCCCCGTTAAATTTGAATCGCAGATAAATGACGAATAATTTTTGGCATAAGTATGTCTGATGCAGTAATTAGGCATCCTGTATTTTATCTGACAGCTCTATCTATGGCTGCTTCCAGCTCTAGATGTGTATGATTCCCTCCAGGAAAGGTTTATCTCACACTCTAGAGCTGACTCCCACCATCCACAGTAGTGGTACCTGAAGAGAATCAGCCAGCTTTGGAGCCAGAATTCTAAAAGCAGGGTCCCTCCAGCCGGTGAGTGCTTCTGTGTCTCTGACAGGCGGTGCTACCTCTTAATTACATTTTACTTTGTGCAAAGAACACATTAGTGTACTTTTCTCTTTGCTTTGAAAACCTGTGGAGGTTTTGCTGGCGAGCACTCACTGCGGTGGGCTGGTAGTTTGTGGCTCCTGTCTACAAGGCTGCTGTAAAAACAATGACAGACAAGTGTATCCTTTCCCCTGGAGATGCTCATGGTTTTAGAGAACTCTGTAGTGTGTAAAGCGGCAGATGTCCATCTATCTGGCCACTGCTCAGAGGAGTGGACCCTTGCAGGAGGAAGTAAGTTTTTTATTGCCTGTCCCTGTCCCCAGAGGGGGTCCTGTCGTGGCCATTTGGCAGGAGAGAGATTTTTATGCCCGGGTGCAAGAAAGAACCTGTTCTATTTCAAGCTGTTGTGCAAATAATTAACAATCTGATATTTCAAAGGGGACATAAACAGAGCCTGATTCATTATGAAAGGAGGTTTTTCACACTCCTGAAAATGTGTGAAAGAGATAGAACATTTATACCTAAACCAGCAGTGCTCATGGGCCCAACCGTGCCCCTGCCATCTTGCCAAGCTAAGGGACCCCCCTCCCATTACATCTTTTCTCTCCTCTCACCTCATCTTTATTTTCTAATTACAAAAATGTGTGTCTTTGTTTGTAACAACTCCAAACAATCTAGAACTGCGGTGTGGGGAAGGATATAGCCCTGAAGCAGCGTGGTGGAAGTCCGTCTCCCAGAGCCGAGGCTTCCTGGCGCTTGACCCCTTGGAGCTTCCTTCCCTCATCTGTACAACGGGGATGACAATAATGTTTATCTCGGGGTATTGTTCGGGTTCAGTGCAGTAATTTTTATGATGAACTTGGGCTCTTAAAAGCATGAGCTTGAGACCTGTCGGCTGTTTACTGTCGTGATACTGACGAGGAAGAAGTTTCAGAGAAGAGCAGCCCCGCTCCCCACAGGTAGGCGTCCGTTCGGACAGTTGTAGAGTCCAGCTTTAACTCCTGCTTTTCGACATCTCATCCCGTTCACAGGGGTCCTTCTCCTAGAAGGCATCTGTGGTCTCCGCCAGCAGACCTGGTCACAGAAGGAGTGGAGTGGACGGACTGTGTCCACCATCTCGAATGAATCACCCCGGGAGGCTTCCTCCCCACACAGCAGGCCACACCTGGGGACCACGTTGTGGGGGCGCCCCTGGTGGTCTTCTAATGCAGCACCCTCACGGGAGCACTCTGATGATACTACAACAGTGACAGTGGTGATGGCAGTGACAGCTGTCCCAGGCCTGTCCCGGAGGCTGGGGGCAGGATGCCTTGTTTCACAGATGAGGTTGCGGAGCCTGGGGGCAGAGCTTCAGCACCTGAGACTCAGAGAGGGAGGTGACCTGCCTAAGGTCACACAGCTCCTTCAGACTCCTGGTTCGTCCTTGTTCCCTTGGCCCCTCCTGGGCCCACTGCCTTCTGTCTGTCCCTGTGGGGAGGTGGGAGTGGGGGTACCAGAGTTACAGCAACGTGCATTGGGATAAGAAAAGTCAGTTTGTGACAGCTCTCCGTTTGGGAATTTTAGAAACCTGAAATGGAATTGCTGTACATGGACGTGACCCCTGGATGTGGCATTTGCCTGACCCGGGCACAGCTTCTTGTCCCCAGTGTCCCCTGAATCCAGGTCCTCGTCCTCTTTTGTCTCTTTCTTCTTTCCTTCCTTCCTTCTTTCCCTGAGTGTTTTGAGATGGGTATTTTTAAAGTGCAGGACAGCTTTGGGGACAAAAGCCTGTCAGTTCGGGACACCTCTTCTGGGGGTGGTGCTTCTGGCAGCGTGCAACACAGAGCCTTCCCTGGGCCGGAGCGCGGGCCCTGGAACGCACCTTCAGCCGTGTCACAGAAGTTCTGGGGCGACGGGGTCTGATGCCCTGAGCTGCCCCATGTGCCGCTGCGGGGGCAGTGGGGTTGGGCACGGAGGCTGTGCCTCCTATTGAGCTGTGCTGTCTCTCCTGGACGTTCTTCTTTCCTTTGTTGGCTTCTCTTGCAATAGTTGCGGACTTAGCGAAAAGTTGCCAGAGCACAAAGTCGTCCTGTGCATCCTTCACCAGGGACGACCGTTTGGCCACATTTGCTTCGTCGCCTCTCTCTGTCCATACACGTATGTGCGTGTTATCGTTTTCTGGCTGAACTCTTTGAGAGTTGAGTTGCAAAAATGACGACCTTGACCCCGAACACTTCAGTGTGTGCTTCCTAAGAGAAGGACCACCTCTTACAAGACCCAGTACCGTGATCAAAACCAGAGAACTGGACGTTGGCCCCGTACCATCACCTAATGGACAGTTGTCTTTCTTTTGACCGTTGTGTTACTTTTCGAACAAACACCAAGGCACGTCATGAACCCCCTCTCCCGGCGTCAACAGCAGGCAGCCTCCCCCCGCCCTCACTGTATCTCCCCTGCGCCCCACGCTGCTCTTGTTGTTTTCCTGGAGTGTTTTACAGCAGAGTCCTGACATGGTTCATCTGTGAGGCTGCAGCATAAATCGTTGTTCAGACCCTGGGATGGGATGTACATAAGATCTGTTAGAGGGCTGTGACCAGCACTTAACAGGGACAGGCTGGAAGAGAGTCGACTATGAAATCGGAGTGCGCTGCACACAGCACGTCTGCATGGTTGTGATGTTAGGTGTGTTTCTCACAGTGGTCATCGGGGTCCTGGGGTTTATTTGTTGATGGTCCCACCTCAGGGCTGCAGGACCCCTCAGCAGGAGACCCGGCCTGGGGAGGGTTGGGGAGAGGGATGTAGGTGAGGTCTGCACCCCCACCATCCCCCTGAAGCTCTGTGGTTGAAAGCATTGTGGCTCTAGAGTCCAAAGTGCTGGGTTTGAGTCCTGACCCATCACTTGCTACCCACACGACCTTGTGCAAGTTAACTAAGCTCTCTGTGCCTCGATTTCCCCATCTGTGAAGTGGGGATAGGAATGGTCCCAACCTCATGGGGCTGCTGCAAGGGTTAACTGACCATGACTGTCTGTCAAGGGGCTCTGAACAGTGCTGGCCACGCAGTGAAGGCTCAGGAAAGAGGCCCATTGTTCCCACTGGCCTGGCCTTGGGCTCTCTCCCTCCAGCCCCGGCCCCTCCTCTTCCACTGAGAAGGATGTGCTTTCCTTGGCATCTCATCCTGCACATTAGAATATCCCGGGGAGCTTTTAAAAATCCCAGTGCCAGCCACACCCCAGGCCAATTACCCTGGAACCTCTGGGGGTGGGACCAGGCGATTCCGATGTGCGGGAAGATGCAGTGCTCAGCGCCTCCCCAGCTGTAATGAGCGTCACCTGGGTCTTGCTGAAATGTGCTCCTGAGCCCACGGGCAGGGTGGGGCCTGGGAGCCTGCATTTCTCACAACTGCCCGGTGGTGCCAATGCTGCTGGTCCAGGACCACTCTGAGTAGTGAGGCCGTGGAGGAGGGGCTGGAAACTGCTACGTCCTTTCTCTCCATCACTGTCACAGGTAATAGCAGCAGCTGAACTTCTTGGACTCTTGCTGTGTGCCCGGCGCAGAGCGAAGCCCTCTCACAGCCACTTTCAGTCCTCCATGAGACCACTGCATACATCAGCCCCGTTTTAAAGATGAGGGGAGTGAGGTCTCGGCGGGTTAAGGAACCTGCCTGCAGTCACATGGCTGAGCCAGGCTCTGGTCCCGGCCAGGACAGTTCTGGTTCCCAGGGCCTGCTCCTACGTGGGAGGCGCTTCCTTTTATACACGGCTGTCCTGAGTCTGTTCCCATCAGTGTCTGTCTGTCTGTCTCCTGTCGTCTCTCAACATCTCTCTCTCTCCCCCACCACCTTCCCCGGGTCCCTAGTCCATTAACTAGCAGATGTCTCCAGTCTACCTCCTACCTGCCCACAAATCCAGCGTGGCTGAAATTGAAGCTTTTATCCTGTCCTCTCCTCCAAACCGGCCCCTCCTGGAGTCCCACCATCTCCCAAGCCTGCGTGTCACCCCAACTTCCAGTTACCTCTCCTTCCCACTGTCCCACCGTCTTCGAGGTTCAGGCTCCACAATTTCTGGCTCAGAGCAGAGCTTCTCTGACCTTAGCAAGTGCACGGATCCCCGGGGGGCCTTGTTAAACTGCCAATTCTGGCTGAGTGCGTCTGGGTGGGCCTGAGATGCTCCATTGCTAACAAGCTCCCAGGAGCGCTGAGGCTGCTGGTCCACCAGCACAACCGAGTAGTGGGGGCCTGGGGGACCCCGGCGTTTCCTAGTGGGCCCCTCCCTGCACAGCCTCCTAGAAGGCAGCCTTGCTCCTTGGTGCCCTCAGGATAACCTCTGAACTCCATAACCAGCCCCCAAAGCCCCCATGGTCCAGCTTACCTTTGGCCTCTCCTCTTCCTATTCCTGCCTTGACCCCCCCACCTTCTGGTTCCACCCGTGGGCCACGCCCTTCTTGTTCTCTGCGTCTTTGCACATTCTGTTCCTGAGACCTGGGGGGCTGTTCCCTGCTTGGCTCACTCTTGCCTCTCTTTAGGGACATGGTCCCCGGGCCTCCCAGGCTGGGACAGGAACCCACCTCTGTCCTACTGGGCTCACCATGCCTCCATCGGGGCCAGTTTGCTGTCTGTCTCCCCCACTAGTCTGAATAACCTATATTCAGTGTGGTGCCCCATTTGGCCTCATGCCCACCTGTGTTTCGTCCTCAGCGACCAGGTGCAGGGTGGGAAATGTGTAGGAAGTGTTTTAGGGGACAAGGGAGGGGCTGGGAGGTCTGACCCCAGGGATGAGGGAGGCAGGAAGGGTCAGGGGTATGCAAGAACAGTGTGGCGAAGCCCGAGTTGCCCATCGGGGCGCCTGTGTCTCCCAGCCTTGTGCAGGACAAGGGGACGATGGACTTCAGAGAGCAGGGCTGGGGCCCTCCCTCGGACACACACCTGTGTGGGAGATAGCATGGCCTCTCATGGCCACCCTCCGCCCCCAGCCTGGCACACGTGGCTCCCTGTGAATGAAGGGATGGGCTCCGTGTCCCCCACCCATCAGCCTCTCAGACGCAAGGACCCCCAAGGTGGACACAAGAGCCTCCCCTTCCCCAAAGAGCCTGCAGAGCCTCACTGGCCCCTGTGGGGTGGGCCTCAGCTGAGGGTCAGGACAGTCCTGGGTTCCATTCCCAGCTCCACTCTGCTAATAAGCTGGGTGGCCTCAGGGAGCTAATGCCACCCCTCTGAGTCTTGATTTCCGCATCTGTAAAATGGGGCAGTAACAGCACCTCCCAGGGTTGTCACTGAGGATTGAGCCTCAAGGGCACACAGGTGCTCAGCACCGCTAGCTGCTGCCGCTGTTTTATTCATCAATTACTCAGAACCCTAAGGACGCGTTTCCCTGCAGGAAGATGGTGGCAGTGCTGGTTGGGACAATGTTAATGCCCTTTTAAGCTCAGTCTGTTAGGTCTCCGAAGAAGCTGCAGTTTAAAAGAGGGCAGCATTATATCACAGGGCCCCGTCTCAGTGGGCTTAGGGCCACCCCCAAGGCCCGTCCTGAGGGTCCTCACGTCCTCACGTCCCTGGAGCCAGTCGCCGTCTGGGCCCCTAAAAGGAGAGGCCAGGTGGGGTTGGTTCCGCCTCGTCAGCGCCCGGCCCGCCCTCACCTTCAGCCTCCCCAGCGGCCGCGCTGGGCCTCCGGTATATTTAGCTTTGAGGCCCTGAAAGTTTTTTCCGCCAGCACAGACGCGTCTTTGAGCAAATTCAGCCCAGATGTAGTCAGCAGGCGCCGTGACCTCGGGCCGGCGGTTTCTCTCCGCCACTACTTCCTGTTGTGCACCCATCAGGGCCGGGGGTGGGGGCCCGGCCACACGTGGCCAACACAAAACAAGCCTCTCCTCTCTCCGCAGGCCTGCAGAGGCGCCGACATGGGGCTTAAGCTGTCCTGCCTGAAAGGTAAGCCCGGTGGGCGGCTCTCCCCCACCAGCTCTTCTGGGGGTGGGTGGGGGGAGGGGGGAGGTGAAGGACTGAGGCTGGAGAGAGTGGGAGGCTGGACCCTGAGACCCCAGCGTTGCTGCCCTGGAGAGGGAGGGGGCACCGCCACTTAAGGCAGCAGCTGTACACAGTAGGTGCCCTGTAAATGCTTGCTCTGACTCTGAGGGCTCCTCCTGGCCTTCCCTCCCACTGGCGGTTGAGTGACGTGGGAAAGTTGCAGGCCCCTGGGGCCTCAGGTTCCCCCTCAGAGGGATTGATCCCAGGCTGTGGAGCCAAAAGGAGGAAGAGGCCGCTGATGAGGGCGCCAGGCACACCCCAGGGTGTTTGCTCTCCACCCTGCAGGCCTGTTATCACTGAGATGGGAGGTCCGCCTGCCCCGTGCTGGGGAAGGCAGGCTGGGAGAGGGGAAAGGCCAGCAGGGAGAAAGTTCTAGAAGGACACAAACTCACTGAGGGGTGTTGTAGCTGTTGGCAGAGGCAGCCCAGACCTCTGTCCTGCACTCTAGAGCTTTCTGACCAGCGTCTGGATGACCCAGGGGCACCTCAGACCAACATGGAGCACACAGAGACCTCTCCCCTTGAAGCCCGTTATTCGGTGACACATGGTCCCCACCACACGTGTCCTGGCCTGAAATCTGGGAGTCGACCTGCTGGCCCCTTGCCCTTGTGTAGCATGCCCACCAGCCTTGAGTCTCCTGGATGTCTCTGGCTGGCCCACTCCATCCCTCTGCCACAGGATGTCAGGAGGCACAGGAAGGTCCTGGGCAGCTGAAGGACCATCCTCTGGTCCCACTGCTGGGATGAGTGAGCTCCAGGACACATCTGGTTGGCCCAGCTTAGGGCTTATGCCCGTCCCTTGGCCAGGGGGTGGGGCATCTTGATGGACAGCTCCTCCGAGACTACATGCAAATGGGAGCAGTGGTTCCCTGGAGAAAACCAGGGTGTTGTTTGCAAAGTGGGGATGGGATGCTGGAGAGGCGTAGACGGCCCAGTCCCCTCCAGGGCCTGGTCCCTCAGGCTCCAGGCTGAGCCTAAAGAGGAGCAGGGGGAGGAGTCTGTGGAGCCAGCATCTGGGAGGGACCCACGGTGTGAGGTCCAGCGACTGAGCCCTTGGCCCCTCTTCCCTTAGACTTCGCTGCAGGTATCCCCGTGCCTGGCACAGAGCAGGCATTCAGGACAAGCTTTTTGTTTTGGTTTTTAATTGTGGTAAAACACATATATAACACAAAATTAGCCATCTTAACCATTTTTAAGGGTACAGTTCAGTGGCATTAGGTACATGCACGTAGTTGTGCAGCCATCCCCACCATCCACCTCCAGAACTTTTCCGTCTTCCCGAACTGAAACTCTGTCCCCATTGAATACTCACTCCCCATCCCCGTCCCCCAGCCCCTGGCACAACCATCCTACTTTCTGTGTCTATGAACTTGACTCCTCTAGGGACCTCGTATATGTGTAATCATACAGTGTTTGTATTTTTGTGACTGGCTTATTTCATCAAGCATAATGTCCTTAAGATTCATTATGTTGTAGCATGGCTCAGAATTTCCTTCCTATTTAAGGCTGAATAATATTCCGTTGAGAGTACAGACCACGTTTGGTTTATCCATTCCACCACTGATGGACACTTGGGCTGCTCTCACTGTTGGCTGTCGTGTCAGGACATCTTTGACAAGTAAACCAAGCCCTTGGGGGGACATCTGGGGCCACTTACCTTCCAGCCCAAGGCTGGGGGCTCAGCCAGGAGAGAGACCCCGGAGCTGCAGGTGCTGCGAGTTCCTGGGAAATACACCCCACGCCACCCCACCCCATCCCCGTCGACTGCAGGACTGAAAGCCTGGGCAGCAGGCTGAACGCCCCTGTTCCTGGGAGCTTTTAGAACGGCCGCCTTCCGGGCCAGGCCCAGAGGAGCCAAGCGCTGGAATGGGGCAGGAGCTGCTGCGCCCAGCGGGCTTTGCTCATGCATTTTTCACTGCTAGCTCTCTGCAGCCTGCCCACCGGCCCTGGGCTGCCAGCCCTCTGCCCTCCAGCCCCACCCAGCCTTGATCTCTAGAGGCAACGAGGCCAACGCAGGCTTGGGTGTGACTCAGGGCACGGGTGGGGGCAGGACATGGGACCCCTCTCTCTGTGTTAAGTCAAGGCGGACCCAGGCCCGCCAGCCCAGATACCCCAGAGCCGTCTCCTCCCAGAGCCTTATTTTTGCATTTCCCTTGAGGGATGTGCCCCGTGGGAGGAAACTGCGGAGTGCCGGACACCCTGCAGCCTGGTCACCCTCCCCGCTGTCCGTGAGGCCTTCTCTTCCCTCGCTGCCCGCAGGCGTGGTGGTACCTGTGTCAGAGCTGGGACGTGCCGTTCCGTGCACTTTTTGCACTTTTATTTATTTTTTATTTAATGTTTGGGCACGTGTGCCATATTTCTTGAGGTGATATGATTTCACAATCCTTTAATTAGTGCCTGTATCAGGTTCTGCCAGGAGTTGGTCTTTGGGTTGTTTCCAACTTGTTCCTTTTGGTAGATAAGACCATTTTCAACATCTTTGCTTCCTGATTTTTTAAATTATTATTTCTTCGGGAAAAATTCCAGAAATCAGAATGACCCGGTTAAATAATTAAGATGAATGGTGAATTCTTGTTAGAGGCTTAGCCCAGGTAAGGCCCTGTTCAGTGTGTCATTCTGTGTGGATCAACTCACCCGTCCCTCCTCCCACCACGAAGTGAGTACTGTTGGGATTCCCAGTTTCCAGATGAGGAAGCCAAGGCCCAGAGAGGCAGTGCAGTTTTCCCAGGGCCACACAGCTGGAACCAGGGTGGGATTTGAACCCAGCCAGGCAGGCTGGTCCCAGGGGCCTGGCTTCAGCCACCACCGGTACGGCCTCTGCAGAGGAAAACATTTTAATTCAACATTTGACATTGTTACTGTAGCCAGAAACTTCATCAGCATGATCTCACTAGATCTTCGTATTAATCCTATAAGATGCTAACTTAGTTCCCGGGGCTGCTGTAACAAAGAACTACAAGCTGGGGGCTTAAACAGTAGAAATTTGTTCTCTCCCACTTCTGGAGGGCAGCAGTCTGGAATCCAGACGTCGCAGGGCTGTGTTCCCTCTGGAGGCTCTAGAGGAGGAGGCTTCCTGCCTCTTCCAGCTCCTGGAGGCCCCAGGTGTCCCTTGGCTTGTGGCCACATCACTCCAGTCTCGGCCTGTGTCTTCATACGGCCTCTCCTCTCCGGGTCTCTCTCTCCTTTCTCTTATAAAGACACCAGTCTTGGGATTTAGAGTCAGCCTTAAATCCAAGATGATCTGATCACAAGATCCTTAAGTAATTACATCTGCGGAGACTTGATCTCCCGATGAGGTCATGTACAGAGGTTCTGGGTGGACGTGAATTTGGGGGGAACTCTATTCAACCGGCTACAAGTCACTTCCCCTCGGAGCTGTCCTGAGGGGGCTCAGGAGCGCGCTCCTCCTGACTGGCAGTAAAGACTCGGCCCGAGGTGGGAGGGCTGTGTGACATCGCAGAGAGGGACACAACTGTGCTGAAATCCTTTTGTTTCTGGTTCCAGAGGAGAGTGGGCACAGCGCTGCACTTTCAGTGGGTCATTCTGCTCTATGGCCTGGCCGTAGCAGTTGTGATGTGCTGGAATGTTCCACCATCCAAAGAGCGCCTCCCTCGTGCCTTCCCGTGTAAGGGCTGGTGTGTGCTGGCCATCCCTGTGGGCCGGGCACTGCTCCCTAAGCGTGTTCCTGAGTTCACTCATTTCGTCCTCATGACAGCTGGATGACATAGGGAGCTTTACAGAGGGGGAGACCGAGGCACTGGGGAGCTCTCACTGGCTGAAGTTCACAGCCGGTCAGGAGGGGCTGGCCTCAGTGGATGGCAGGGAGGGGTGCGTGGCTTCCCCGGCTCATAAGCGTGTTCTCTCCGGGTCAGCGGTGGGGTGGCCTACCAGGAAGGAGCGTGGTGGGGCCATGCGGTTCTCAGTGGGGTCCCTGGTCAGCATCACCTGGGAACTGGTCAGACATGCAAGTTCTCAGGGCCCGTCCAGACCTACTGGGTCCAAAATGGGGGGTTAAACAGACCTCCAGGGGGTCCTGGTGCCTGCCCAAGTTTGAGACCCGCTGGTGAAGTGGCTCTGGGGTCAGAGAGATCCGAGTTCAAATCCTAGTTCTGCCCCTGACGAACTGCAGCCTTGTGCAAATCACTTCACGGGTCCCAGCCTCGGTTTCCCCATCTGTAAAACGGAGTGATGAAGGAGAATATCTCCTGGGCCAGGTTTCGAGAATGGTCTGAGATGAACACTAACGATGGTGCCTGAGGACCGGGTTTCCTGTCCACCCCGCCCTTTGCCCCCTCCTGCTCTGCAGGCAGCTCCAGGGGTGTGGGGACCTCAGAGGGGTCGTTCACCCGGAGGCGCGGGCTTTCCCGTTGGGGCCAACACGGGGGCCCGGCGTGGTCTCTGGCATTCCCCGGAGGGCACCAGCTCCAGCCCCAGCCGACTCCAGCGTCGCCGTGGAGAGAGGCATCTGGGGCAGCCTGGGGCCCGGCGGGAAGGGCCAGAGAGGGAGACTGGCCCAAGTTGGTGGTTGGTTCACTTGTTCTAACAGACTATCTTTTAGAACAGTCTAGATTTACAGAAGAATTGAGAAGGGAGCAGAGAGCTCCTGTATACCCCACGGCCAGTCCCCGAGAGTTAACGCGTCCGTCAGTGTGGCGCGTTCATCACGATCAAGGAATCAGTGCAGGTGCCTGGTTGTTAGCTCAAGTCCATGCTCTAGTCAGGTTCCCGTGGCATTTCCCTCGTGTCCCTTTTCTGTCCCAGGATCCCACCTTCCTTGCAGACGTCGTGTCCCCTTAGGCCCCTCTGGGCTGTAAATATGCAGAAGGGCCTGTCCCTGTGAGCTTGGCCATTCTCAGGACTGGTCAAGTTCTGTAGGAGGCCCTGCTGTTGGGATTTGGCTGATGT